CTACTACTACTAATACTTCTACTTCTGCTACTACTACTACTACTACTACGACGACGACGACGACTACTACTACTACTGCTACGACGACGACGACGACTACTACTACTACTTCTTCTTCTGCTACTACGACTACTACTACCACCACCACTACCACCAAGACGACGACGGCTCCGACCGCTAGCAAGACTGGACTGCCCTTCTTCCGAACTCCACCCCAAAGCAAATGCTTCAGTCCTCGTAGGCTGAAATGACCTGGCACGGTTTGAAACATTGTCCAAGGACCGGCTTGCACATTTTAGAACTAGTGGTTGAAAATGCAACGGAAGCCTGATGGTGCAGCACGCACAAAAACCGACGACGACCATGATGATGGCTACGACAATAATGGCGATGGCATGCGATTGTGATTGCGAGCTTCAGTGGTGCATCCATGCATTTCGCATTGTGAACTTCGCGGCTATTGGCCGGGGCCATTGGGTCGGTGATGTTTCGTTTCAGTATGAGTATGAGACTTTGCGCACCACACGTGCCCAGTGAGACATCGCCATCGCACGTGGACTGTCCAGTCGAAGGTTGAGCCTCATGATCACCCTGAGACCCCTTCCTGGGGGGGGGACCCGGAGCAAAGGATGGCCTCTGGAATCTGCGCGACAGCCGGCAACAAAGCTGCGATCTTCTCATCGCTCAGGTACATGCTTTGCTCAAGATGTCTTTACCCTGTAAGATAACATGAGTGGTTTGTCCTGGTGGAATCGGATCTGATGTTGGATGGCAAATGGCTGCGCGCGCCCTTTCTCAGCGCTCTCTGAACTTTCTGCCTACCAGGATGCCAGCTTATGAAACTTGCAGAGGTCTCGTTTTCCACTGTGTGCCACTGGACTCGGTGAAGGGCGACCTCTTCGGCCTACTGTACCGGCTTTTACCGACTGTACCTGGGGCCATGCAGGAGCTCCCGGCAGCAACGGCAACACTCGCGCCGTGACCGTGACCCCGTGCTGACCAGCAGGGATCTGCGGCACAGCTGGAAAAAGGCAGTGGCTCAGAAGTTCACTCTTCCGAGGCCTTCAGAACCGGAACCTCTTCGTTCCTTGTTTCCAATCTCCAAGAGCCCCAGGCCCGCTGCCTGGTGGAAGAAATCATGCGCCCCCGAGACCACCCGTCTGACAGCGAAGAGAAAAAGCATCGGAGATTGCAGGAACGTGCTTCAAACGCTCCGGCAGCAAGTTGTCGCTTGCTGCGAAGTGAACCTGAGCCATCCGCCTGTCGCTTGCTTGCTGCATTTCGAACACAGAATGTTGCCCAGATGAATTTGGTAACTGCGATCCCGGTCCATTCCAACTGACACTACTGGTGTCGTTTGCTCCAAGCGGCCCCTATCGAGCAAGCCAGGGGTGATCGGAGCAGCTGCGCAGGGAGCTAGGAAGCATCTGCTTTGCGGACGAAGTTCTCATCGGCGTGAACTCCTCTCGAACAACTGGACCGGTGAGTGTCGCGACACAACCGGCTAGTGCCCCCACACTCATGTCACTGCCACTTCAACCCGATTCGCCACTTCTTTCTTAAAGTGCTAGGCTGCCAGGCGGACGACTCCGCCAGCCGCCAGCCTGGGTGCTCCCGCGACTCGAAAAATCTATACAAGTCATAGTGAGTGCCATGCGCTCTACGACGCACAATCTTCCAGTTAAATGGGACGATATGGCAGCAAAAAGGCTGGAAGTGAATTGACGACAGTGCGCCGGCTCGCCATCTGCGGTTAGCAGAGTCTTCCTCCCTCCTCAGAGCTGCGCTCCATGTCAGTTCCGATCAAAGGGAGATGAGCGTCCTCCTGTGTTTCGCACTCGAGCTCGTCTGATCTTTGTGTAGTTGATTCTGTCGGAGTCGCCGACGGAGTCGCTCCGACATGGTGCCTAGGTTCCGAGCCCGCTCCTGCCGGCGATATTCAAGTGCCCTTGCCATTTGCGTTCATTTGGGGTACGTCGAAGTGGCTCTTGGTGCTGGTGTTGATGGCCTTGCCATTCTTCTTGGCATCTTGGTGGAAGTTCAGGAGTTCCAGGACACTCGCGTCCTGAAGCCAAGCACCCAAGACGTGGGCCTCCTGGTCTGCGCTGGGCTTCGGCATGATCTTCTCCGACTCCTTCTGCACCGTCCTCTCTTTGGACCCGTTCCTGCCGTTCCTGGCTGTCTTCTGTTTCTGAGCACGTCCGAAAGCGGCTCGGAGAGACAATTCAGCGTCTGGACGCGAGTCTCTATGTCAAAGCTCTCGATTGCTGTGGCGGAGTCGCCCTGGCAGAGAGAACCATGACCGTGATGCCGGTGCTTGCAGGACCGCTAATGTACAATGGGTGTGTCTCTCGTCTGCCGTGTGATTTGTGCTCTGCTGATCGTGTCTCGCTGTTGTGGCCATGTTGCGTGCCAGCTCCAGCGTTGCGCCCTTGCCCCGTTAGGGGACGGCTGCAGCAAAGATTGGCGGTGGACTGCCCAACGCAGTGACAACGGAAGAGCGCCCAGATGCAACCTTAGCGCTGCAAATTGCCAAAACTGTAATGCCAGATGCAGGTCTTGCAGATGTGTAGTGTCCTGGCAAACTCTGAGCAAACTGTGCCAGGCGAGAGATGAGCATCGTTCTGAACTAGTATATATAGAGACATTCATATTTAGAATACATTCAGATTCACATTTAGAATAAGGTTCTGGGGCACATTTAACTACAAACGTGTCAAGGAACCCTTTAAAGAATAAGAAGCACAAGAATAGCTATTTTTGTAACGCTTCAGCCCCCTACCATTACCCTTTTCAGGCGGCCAGAGAGCTCTCAATCTGAGTTCCTTTCAGCGCGGTTGCCAGGCTCGGACGGAAGACTCTACAAGTATCTGCAATGAGGCTACATGTGCCTATACGCCTCAAACCATAAGGACACAGCAACATGCTGAGGGACCACTACGGAAATCGCATGGCCTGCTCAGCCAAACGCGGACAGTGGACAGCGGTCGAGTAGCGACCGCTCCAGCACCTGGCTGCTCAATGTCTGACAACCATTCAGAAGTACATGCCAGCAGGCTCAAGCCCGGCATTGACTGCTCGATGTAGCTGTGACTGCCATACAGGCACATGCTAGAACCAGCGGCGCATTCCGAGGCCAACCACAGCGGCGAGACTCGAGACACTAGGCCACTCAGCTTCGTGGAACCACGCATATGAAAGTACATGGGTCAACAGTGAGAAGAAACTCTCGCTACATTCACCAAGTCCCATGCATGACTTAAACAGCGCCAGAATGATGGACGCCGAGCTTCGAAAAGCCTTGCCGTTGGTCGTAGCTCACGCTTCGAACCCCTCTGGCTGCAGACGGACAGCTGCTGCAAATGCAATGCAATGCATGAGTCGATGTCATGCTGCCATTGAACAGAGGCAGCGGGGTCGAGAAAGCATTGATTACACCCCGGGGAGTTAGTTGTTGCGGTCTGCGCAGTTTTTTTTGCCCGCTCGCTACACGAACATCCCTGCAGACCCGTGCACGGCAGATATCTTTATGAACTACAGTGTCGCACAAGCACTCTAGACTGAAGGAGCCTGTCTCTACAGTGACTCTACAGTCTACAAGAAAGTACTGCGATACACGACGCTCGAAAATCCTTCGAGCTGGAGATGCCGACTTGAAGCCTCGTCCGAGCGCCTTCCAAGACTGGGCGACTGCCCGCTGCGAGCCTCGCCAAGGCCGAAAGGCTTTTTGCTGGCTTTCGTGCGTTCTGGGTTTGATTCACTTGCATGCGCAAAACAGCCGGTGTCTTTTTGGCATGAAAGGCATGTCGAGTACCAAATGTTCCCGGGAGAGGTTGAAACGTGTGCTCACTCACAACGGGTTGGCACAGAGCGAATGCTGGCTAGAGCTCAGCATCCAGAAGTTCGTAGGCACAAGGGCCGCTTGTCAACCGATCTATGGTTGAGTGCCGTCTCGGCTGTCGATTCGGCGGACGAAGAGCCACTCTGTAGCCACAGGGTCCGGATCTGAGCCGATGCACTCAATGAAGAAAATTGTTGACAGTCCACTGACTAATGCCTCTCGGTATTCGTCCCTGCAACACCTCGGGTAAAAAGAGAACAAGACACCTGAACTGTCGCGAAAGCAGGGAGAAGCTTGGGCCGACAACACCGCCTATCTGCACAGACTCGGGGCTTCTGAGCCTGTCCGCTTTGTGCACAAAGTCGTGCAATGGGACTCTGTCCCTGTCGCACTTTCCTCCGGTCCAGTGGTCCCTTCGGGAGTGTCTGGACGGGAATCAATGTACACTATCAGATCACTATTACTACCCCAAAGTATCGAGTCTATAAATGTACTTGGAACTTTCCAAAAGGTTCTGCAATTCCGAGACTTCTTACAGCCAGACTGACGAACCAGAGAAGCCAAGGGGTGCGGCAGGGCATCTGGCTCTCAGCTGACCCTTTACCAGCTGCATGATGCCTCCGTCCACGTTCGGATTCTTGTCCGCAAAGAAGACCATCTGCTGGCAGCTCATCTTTGACATCATCTTCTCCATGTTGCGCAGAACAGCACCGGATATGTCGGATTTGCCCTTCGATGACAATGACAAGCGACAATGGATCGCCTGCAAGACCGGGAAGAGCGTGTCGAAACGACCTGCTTGTTGGGCACGCATGGACAGCTGCGCCAAGAGCAAGTCGAGAAGCTGTGCTTCACCTCAGCGGCAGGAATGGCCATCATGGAGGTACGGGGATGCTGCACACGCAAAGCATGCCCTGGCACTGATGGACTTGACTGCTTCCCGCTGCTTCTTGTCGGGCTTCATGCGTCCATTGTGGCAGCCTCGCTCAGCACCACTTCAATACATGGTAGCCGCAAATGTCTTGGATGAGGGAGACTAAAACCCTGTGCAGCATCGTTGCACGCATCATCGATAAGAGACTGCGCAATGAATATACTCAACATGGATGAATGTCGGTGTGAGAAGCCTGCAAAATCCTGCAAACACTAGCTGCTTGGCCTCCAACAGTTCGCATAAGCTTGCCAACCAAGGAGCAGCGGCACCAAAAGCACTCGTCTCCCTCGTCGCTGGTGCTCCATGACTCCTTGTTGGCACCTCCGAAGCATGAACAAATCTCAAGCAAAGCAAACGGCCTGGGCCGGGGCTCACATGAAATGACATGCTCCACGACTCCGAAATCACACTCGAAATCACAGCTCAGAAACGAAAGGCGCCTGTGTCCCTCGACAAGCCAGGAGGAGGACCAATGCCTGGGCTCCAAGGACGTGTGACTACGTTTGGCCGCAAAACACAAAAGCCGCTCCAGGCAAGCAGATTACTGTCGAGGTCGAGCAAGTCCGGCATTGGTCTCTCGCCTGCTGCATTCCCCCCTGGGAAAGCGAATCTTCGCGGAAGTTCCCGGCACCCGGCCTGCGAAGCTGTGAGCCACGAGGCGCAGCTCCGAAGGCAGCGACCTTAGGCAAAGCGCTTCTTCCAGCAGATCCCTGCCCTGCTCTAGAAGATGGCAACCTGCCGGAATTTGGGGCAGGCGGCGCTGCTCCGCTCACCCTTGCTGCAGTAAACATGCAGCGTGGGACGGAATCACATCTTTGAAGTAGCTCACGGCTGCGACAATCGCAAGTTGCCGCAGGTTCTGTCAGATTTTCAGACATCACATGACCTCTCCACGATGTGGGGCAAAGAGCCTCCGTTACTGTTGCGCATCCGATGAGAGCCCCAGTGTTTGAAGCCCTTGCCTGCATCGGACGCTGCACTGCTCAGGGCTCAGCATCACGTCTCCATCAGAGACAGGGACCGCATGCGGGAAGGAGTAGGGGCAACATGCAACCGAGAACGGTCGAAAGAATGGTTTCAAGCTTCGGGGCTCCAATGGTTCGCCACCAAGATCTTTCCGGAAACGAAGGCTCTGGAGGCTTTCTCGGGGTGAGGCTCAGCTTCGACGCATGGTTCTTCCTATTATATATAGTCGGGTATCCTTACTGACCCTCCGCATGCTGGGCTTGGCTTGAAGCAAGAAGGGGCTGTGGTGAGCAGATGCAGAAAGGGCGATGCTCCATGTGCAAGCTTCGAGGTGCGTGAGGCTGCGGAGATGGGCCATCGGAGTCGTTTCGTGATTTCCATCTGCCGGATCCTCCAAGCTCGAAGCTTCCAGGACTCACTGTCTCTGCCAGGATGACGATGCCCCCCATGACCGTGGTGGTGCTGATGGCGATGGCAGAAAAAAAGAACAGGCCAATTACGGCGGTGCTTGTAGTTACTTTGAAGTTCGATGAGGAGTCTGATTGCCGTGATGAGGAGGGATAATCATCATGACGGCGGTGGCAGTTAGGCGAGATTAAGACGAGGACCAAACTGAACTTGGATGAAACTATTGCTGGTGGCAACGATGATGGTGCCGGCCACCTCAAGTCCGCAGGAATCCGCAAAGCTGCTCTCAAACTCGACCTGCATCTCTCGGAAGCTACGGTGGGCACCTGCTACTGTCCCCGGAGTCTGAAGCGCTTAGAGAGTCTTTGTGACCTTTTAGGCCTTTGTGACTGTTTGGGCAAGGTGATGGATGGACTCAACCGTCTATGGCCGTCCATGAACACCTTAAAGCCCTTCTTTGCACGGACTTGAAACCTTAAACCTTAAAACCCGAAAGCATGATCGCCAATATTGACTGCTCCCCTTGGCCCTTTTTGCCCTGAACCCTCTTCCCCAGACTTCGACTGCCTTTTCTCCTTCGCCCTTCGCATCTGGGCAATACGTGTGTATGTGTCTACAGCCCCGGGTTGGCTCCAGGGTTTAAGGCCTTGGCTGTCCTATCAGTTGCTGACTGTGGGGCCAGCGCAAGCTGGAGGTGTCCTTAAGGAGTTGCGCCCTTATAGAATTCTATAAGCATTCTTCTTCGGAAACCATGCTGCAAGTAGAACGCCGCAGCATGTGGCGCGCTTTCTCAGGGAAGGCCTCACAGAAGCTTGCCTGGCAACATCATGATACTAATGACACTGCCTGGAAATCGACACTCACGCGTTTTCCGTTCAGCTTAAGGCTTGCATGAAGAGGGCCGTAGATTTATTCTGACTGATCGTGCATATACGCACCATCGTCCTAGAATCCTAGTGCCTCAAGCACCCAATCGCTTTCGACCTGATGCATCCCCAGGCATAACGTCCAACGCCTAGAAATCATCCGGGATGTTGTTCGCAGGGTCGAACTTGTAGGAGAACCACAGTAGGATCGCCTGACTTGTGCAGGCATGGGCTGTTGAGGTGCGAAGTTTCACGGGGCCAGTATCTGTGCAAGCCCGCGGCCGGATTGCAACAAGATCTTTGCCCAGTAGACGATTCTACTGACCGTGGAGGGGTGCTCAGTTCGCACCAATACCTCTGCTAGCCGTCTGGCGGGGCACATCGAGCCTAAGGGAATACCGAGGCACTGCCGCTGGCCGGCACTGCCGCTAGCCGAGGTATACGGTGTTTGTAGAAGCAGTGTCATCCCGGTCTCTGACGCTTGCAATGCTTGGCACACTACGCTGCAACTCTTCCACGCGGCGCTTGAAATCCGAAACTCTACGCATGTCGATGATCAGCTACCCAACTACGCATTCGCCAGTAGCTGCGCATGCATGTAAGCATATGCTTACAGTAGGAACGAAAATTACAGTAAACAAAAAACAAGTCGTGACATCAAGGGAAGATAAAGCAATACTTCTAGACAAGCATGTGAGCTTATGTAGTATATCGTGTTCAAACGCATGAAACACACACATGCATCCTGCGGTTGTCCACTCTGTCTAAGGCCGGGCACTGGCGCAAGCCACAACGTCGCAGCAGCCACATAGGCATAGTTGTACCACCGGAACTGTACTCGCCTGAGGAGGATCATGGCCCAGCATTCAGCAAGGAAGGCTCAGGACAAAGGTATGCCTGCAATTCACGGCCTTGACACGACAGCCTGATTTGCATGATGATGGAAGCGGATCTCCCACCCAAAACTCGGATTCGCCCCGGAGGCCTGATACCCCAACTCCGGGTCTGAATGCAGCCCACGGCTCTGGATGATGAGGGTCACCACGTAGAGTGCGCCGCCGTACCAAGGAGCAATGCTATACCTTATCATCGCGCGTCGCGTGGTTGCGATCAAAGGCTTCAAATCCCAAACCTATAATAAATTGCGCCGTTGCTTGCAGCCAAGGGCCACCAACTCAAGGATTTGCCGAGCTGTAGTTTACACAATCTTTGTGGGGAATTCCTTCCTTTCAATCGATCGAGTCTTCTTCGCCATCCATCCAATATACGAACAAATTAACAAAGAAACAAGGACAATCACATAAATTCACGTAAGTCAATAAACATGACCTGCCTTCATGGGTCATAAACTATATACACAAATACGTAATGTATGTATGCAGGCGAGTCTATATAGTCTATATGTAATTACGCATGATTACGATTGCATGTGCATATACACCTCTCTCTCTCTCTCTCTCCCTCTACCGGGCCAGGGAGGCGGGCGGTCCCCCCACCCCCTCGCGCGTGAGCGCCCACCAGCGGGTCTAGGCCGGATTTGACTTCCGACAAGGGGGTTTGCCCCCCACTGGCTCGGCTACACACGGCCCGTGGAGATCGACTCACATGTCTGCAGTACAACAGCAGACAGATCAGCGAGTAGCAATCTAAGGCCTTGGCCGAAGTGCCATGGGGTCACAGTTGTGAGTCATTGTCATGATCCTCCATGTTTATCCCAACAAAGCTCTCGAGGGCCCCGAAACATCAGTCACAGCCACACTTAGTTTCAGGATTGGTCAAGGCTTTTCAGGGGTGGAGCCCCTGTTGTAGTGAGGGTATCGGTACAAAACAACAGCGAAGTACGAAGCAGAATCACAGTATCCCCTCACGGATGTGCACTCGGGACAACACTGCAGTTCAGGCGCACGGTCCCCTGATGTTTTGCGGCGAGCTTGTGGTTGTTTGGCGCCAAAGGTATACTACTGCTCCTAATCCCCCCCCCCCCCGGAGAACGAAAAGTTAACGGAAAGCAGCTAGTCCACTTACAAGCGCAGGGTGCGGGTTCCCCTTGGGTGGTCACTTGGAGGTTGAGTTTAAAGTGAAAAGGTGGGGGTTTCGAGGCAAAGCATGTCTCCCTCGCTACTTCGAGCGAGCGCTGTGGAGTGTTATTGGACGGGAACAGAACGAATTATGGCCTCTACGTCCCCCCGAATTCGACTTTCTGTCAGCGGAAAGATCGTCATTGACGGTGTGTTGAAAAGAGCCTGTTATAGGCGGCCCAGTTTGGCTCTTGCTTGGGGGCGAACCCCGCTGCCCGAAGGCCAACCCCAACACGGTCCGCGCCGGTCTGTCTGAGAGGCCTATTTCGGTGGTTGAAGATTGGGCTGTTCCCCCCCATGTGCCTGTGAACCCATCCCGAAGAACACCCCTACTAAGACCGTGACCATAGAAAACCTTGCAAGCATCACTCTGGTCATCCAGGCATCTTCCAGAAACTGCTACAGAGAGAACTGGCCTTGGAACAAACACAGCAGGACATGCAAAAGCTAGGTAGTAAGCTCCAGTGACGTTAATGACGTGTGGCCTTGTCTCTTTGCGGTGGGGTGTACCCCTTGTGTAGAGATCGAGCCCCCTACTCAAGCCCACAAAGCAGCAGTAAGCCTCCCCAACATAACAACTCTGAAACGGTTCTGCTCGATATCTATCGGTGAGTGGCCGCTTGAGCTCCACTCCTTCGGTCACGCAACACAACGACTGATCCCCGCTTCACCTGCCTCCCCACCTTAGCCCGAACTGAAGCCTCGCACGACCTGGCCTTTCCACCCCTCCCTGAATCCTCACTAGTTTGCATATGCACCTCTCTCTCTATCTCTTTTTCCTTCGGGCATAGGGGGCGAGTCAAACCCCCTGGCCACCAGGTTTTCTGGAGGGAATGTGTATTGGTCACTCTCTTGTCTCTCTCTCCTGGCTCCACGAAGCAGGGCCCTGCCCCCCTGGTGCGGCTGGTCTTTGCATAACACATGACGGGCTTGCAAAGGGAAGTCACCTCAAGCAGAACGGAGAAGTTTAGAGTGCGAAGCCACGATATGTAGTGCATGACAACATGACACACACACACACACACTCGCTCGCTCTCTCTCTCTCTCTCTCTCTCTCTCTTTCTCTTTCTTTCTTTCTCTGGCTCTCCCTCCGTGGCGGTTTAGTTCTCGGTTATCTATATTGCTGGTCGGATTGTGCGAGCAGCACCACCTGTAAACTTACTGCTGCAAGATCCGACTGGTTAGCATCACCCGGTATGCAACAGAATTTGTTCCGATTTACCGAAATGACTATGCTTGATTGATCAGGTCAAAGCTAAAAGCAACCGTAGGCATTCACTAGTAGACACGGGACTGTATTGGCATACCACTAATGACTTCGTTGTGTGTCGTAGAGCGAAAGGTGAGCCAGCTGCTGCTGCAGTGAGGTTGTCCCGTGCTAGCTCCGCCTGCGACTGCTACGTTCTTGGCACCAATACGACGACCGCAGTCTGTAGGTCTCTCAACCTGGTGATTTCAAGAAGGAAGTGTAGCTCTTCATGTGTGGCGGTTCTGGGCTGATGGGCATGGGGAAGGACAAGAGTGAGAAAGAAGGGGGCCGGCAGCAGCGTCAGGAGTAGGGGAAGCAGGAGTAGAAGCCGGAGTCGGAGCCGAACAGGAGCAGGAGCAGCAGCAACAGTCAGGCAGTGGCAGTGGCAGGTATCAACTACTATACTCCTAGATATTGTTCTATTTCTAGTTCTATTTCACCTCAGCGAAACCCTCAACAAAAACCCAGCGCTCTCCCTGAGCCCTAAAAGTCTAAAAGCCCTAAACTCAAAAGTTGCGTCGGAGGACCAAGGCCTTAAGGCTTCCTCGGCCGTGGTGTAGGCCGCAGCAGCTGCAGGCGTAAATCCGGAGGCGAAGGCGAGCAGCGCCTTAGAACTACGAAAAGAATGCGAACTCTGAGGACTCTTTGAAGGATTTAGTGTAGTATAGTATGGTATAGTCTAGTCTAGTCTAGTCTAGTCTAGTCTAGTCTAGTCTAGTCCAATAGTTTATTCTAGGGCTTGCGAGAGAAGGCCACTGGAGAGGCAGGGAATAATACTTTTAGGGGAACTATGAGACTTCTTCTTGGATTTACTACAGTCGCTCTTATAGGGTTTATACTATGAGGCGTTACGGCTCAGGCAATGACAACTAGTTTCTGTCTGGGAGGGGCTGCAGGGGTCACGCTTTCGCCAATTGGGGTCTATGCAGCTGTCCGAATCTATACTCCATCCGCAGGAGCTCAAAGGACCCCGAATCCCCAACTAGCACAGCCCTCGCACGCGAAGAGCACGCTTTGAAAGTTTGCTCCGCCAACCGTTTTGCTGCTTGCAGATCGGCAGACGCCGGAAGCCCAACCCCTGATCTGACCCTGACACCGGTCCAGGCCTATCTGAAGATTGAAACCTCAAGAATTCACCAACGAACCCCAAACCCGAAACATCCTAAAGCCAAGACCCTGAACTCTAAACCCAATGGTGTCCCTGTCCGCACCTTCGGTACGTCTCTGCTGATGGCCTGCTCGGCTCCTCCTTCCTCCAGCCATGTCGCATGCTATGGGCTAACAGCTTTCGCGAGTGTTTAAAGAAAAAAGGTACCAGGAGCTCAAACTCTGTTCCACTAACCCGCATTGAGTTTCTTCTGAAAACTTATGCGGAAGATTTTCCATCTGCCGAAGCGGCTGAGATGCCAGTAGTTTGGGGTAGCTTATTCGTGTTGTTTGCTACTAACTACAAACCAGCACCACCGTTGAGGCTGCCACCTGCAAGCGCTCAGGGCTTTTAAGCAGGTTTGAACTTGAACCGTGAACACACTTAGGAGTTCATAGACTACTGCTTCGGCGAGAGGCAATCTATCTGGCACATTGCTGGGCTGGCAGGCCACCACTACAAAACATGCAGTGATGACACAGCCCTTGCGGCACATCCTGACAAGTAGGTACAGCACTATAAAGATAGGATCAGAGCATTGAAGCTTTGGCATCGCCCTCCTTAAAATAAGCGAAGCATGAACAGTGTAGCCAGCCAGTAGGCAGCATGTCCTTGAAGAATGAATCGCTTGTCACAGCTGTTGATTCAGTGTCTAAAGCCCCTCCCCCTAAATCCGCGCAAATCCAAACGGCGCAAAGCCTGGTATCTCCTAATTACAATACCTCTTTCCACGGGAAATTCCTGCAGCTCTGAAGCCCTTGTCGGCCTAAATCGGCGCACGCCCCTGGAACAAAGAACGCAATCCACCGAAGCTGCACAAACCTACAGGTAGAAAACCCGGTGCAAATCCAAAAATCCGTAATCGTGGGCATGGGGTCTGTGGAGAAAGAGATTTGAGTCAACCAGAAACCCTGGAGATTACAGGCCTCGAGTGCTACCCGTCCGGGTTCTGGTCTGGCAGTTCGGACCTTCGATTCGTGGTCATCTGAAGGTTTTCGCGTTACGTCACACTTGGCTGGAACATGATCAGGGTTGAGGCAAGGGGTTTTCGACTCTCACTCTCGCGCGAGGCAGGCAAGGCAAAGAGTTGTGGGTCGAGCGGGCGCTAGGTGTGGTTGGCTTGAGCAGTGTCCGGATGCAGTTGAGGCCGTGAGCTTCTTACATCTGAGTTGAAACTTTGTTCATGAGCTTCTTGTGCAAAGGGTTAGGAACAGCCAGGCCTCAACCCAGACCTTCTGCATGATGTCAGGCAAACCAACGTTAAGTATCAACATGTGAGTGTGTGTGTGTGTGTACGTACGTACTTGTGCATGCATATGTATGCAGTATGTATGTACCTCTGCTTCTCTGACAGCCCCAGCCTCCTGTCTCCGAAGCTTCGGGCTTTCTGCGGGTCCCACGAAGGCCAAGTCCTTGAGAGCCAGCAGCGCGCACGCTAGGACAGCGGCCTTCAGCAGCGAGGAGTGGCGTGTCATGGCTTGGCAGAGGGCCCTCGAAAGAGCCGAAAAATCGCTGCAGGATCATTGGGCCGCGTTTGCGCAATATTCAGCGCGCTCCCGAACCCGCGAGCTCATAATTTCTCGACTCAAAGCCCTGCATCTCGAGCAGGCCTCTAA